TGGGGTGGGGGGAGGTGGCTTCAGGCATGGGCACAAAGGTGCTGGTCATTCACCTGACACACACACACGTTCCCCGGCTTTTACTCAAGGGCCTGTCTTAACCTCTCAAGTGATGTATCAGGGCGTTTGTCCCAGAAAACGCTACACACGTCTACGGTGGAGCAAAGTAAAAGATCCTAAAACTTGAGTGTCGCAAACAAAAAGAGAGAGACAGGAGGGAGAGACGGGAGTGACAGAGACAGAGAGAAAGGCAGGCACAGGATAAAGGGATTCTGGGTGTGTTTGTTTGTTTGCTTTTAATGCTCGGAGCTCCTTCAAGGCAAAGCGCCTCTGAAGATCTGAGGTGAAAGTGTCAGTGCTTCGGGCACGTGGGGCGAGTACGGGGCGAGGGGAGGGTGATGCGCAGGAGACTGGGAAGTCCCGTCTGCACGGCTTTATGGAAACGAAACGCTCACTGTAGGGCCACCGACCCGGCATGGACTCGTGAGGCGTGCCGAGAGACGCAGAGATGTCGCCGGGGGAGGCTGCGGACGCTCGGTGGAGCCTGACGCCAGGTCTGCGTTCTGATGCTCGCCGGCATCCTCGGCCCCTCCGATGCGCCCTCTACCCAAGCTGAGTCCCACCTCGCAGACGGATGCTAATTCTCTTTGACTTCGCGCTTAGCCGTTGGCTTCAATACATGTTAGAGCCCCTCACCTTTTCTCAACAATCTCCGGGGGGAAGGGATCCCCCTAATCTTTCTCAAAGCTCTTCCCCTCCTCCCACCCCTCTGGGGCGAGGGTTCGGCCCGCAGCTGGCGGGGCGGGGGGGTGGGGGTGGGGTGGGCGTGGGGGCGCCGGGAGCTCGGGCCGGCGGCTTTGAGGGAATCAGCCTTTTGGCCACCTTCAGGGCGGGAATAGGAACTGGCAGTTTGCATTCCCGGCAGATCGAAGCTCCCTGCTGATCGATTATTTGATAATTGATTTTCCCCGCAGCCAATGCGCGACCGCCTGGACGGGGGCGCCTCCTGATTGGCCGAGCCCTCCTTCTCGGCTGCCTACCGAGATTTGGGTGAGCTCATTTTCCAGCCGACCGCAGGGGGAGTTTTCGGCGAGGTTTCAGCTGGAGGGAGGGGGAAAAATCCTCTCCGAGCCGAGCGAGCTGCGAGCCCTGCTTGGGGATGTAAGGCTTCCAGCCGCTCGTAGAGCGGCAGCGACCAAGCCGCCTCGGCAGACCGAGGGCGGAAAAATAAGTTCGAAAATAACACCACTAAATATATTCCCAAAGCACAAGCTTAGAGTGGGAGAATAAAAGGAAGGGGGGGTGGGGGGGGGGGGGGACGTAAAGCCCAGAGAATAGATATTAAAGTTGAAACCACTGGCTGGTCGGAGCCTCCGAGCTGTGGCTACGGGCAGCTTTTGTCTGAAATCTCAGCTCCCGAAGTGGATTTCTTGTTCTCTGTTGCTGCGAGTTTTCGCCGAGCCGGGTTGGGGACGCAAAAGCGGAGTGCGGGGAAGGATGTCTGGGGTGGAGAGGGCAGGGCGTCGCTGGAGAAAGAGCTGGGGGCGCGGGGCCCCTCCGGGCCCGAGCGAGGCCGAGGCCGGAGCCCCTCTGCGCCTCGAAGACAAAGGCAGCCAGGGCTGCCGCCCGAGCCCGGCGCCCCGGCCCCGTTGCGCCGCGCCCTGGGCGCACGGCCGCCTCGCCCCGAGCGGGTCGGAGAAGGAGCTTCCCTGCCCGCGGCTCCCCGGCCCCGGCTCCGCCCGCGAGGTCTGGGCTGCGGCGAGCCCGCGTCGGGTTTCGCTTTCCGGAGATCATAAATAGCTCGGTGTTTGTAAACAGGCGCTGGGGGCACATTCCCGGCGCTCAGCTCATTGTTCCCTCCCTTCCTCTCTCACTTCGCGCAGGGCGCCGAGCTGGGGCCGGGGGCCGCCGGGGCTAGGAGGTGGGGGCGTCCAAACCCAAAGTGACAAAATGCAAGCATTTCCTTTCCTCCGGCCGGGCGTCCTCCTCTGACAGCAGAAAACCTCTAAGCGGGGTCTGCAGGAAGCCCGAGCCACCTCCACCCCACGTTCTCAGGACTCCTCAGGAGAGCCTTCTCCGGCCCCGCTCCTGCTCCTCCTCCTCGCTCTCGGTTTGACTTTTCTCCTTGGAGTGTTTAGTTCTGAGAATTCAGCTCTTTGCGCATCACCCCCTGCCCCGAGAAATACTGGCAGACCCTAATAATTTCGAGGAAAGTCATGAAGTCTATGCGCGGAGCCCTGTGCAAAATAACTCTCGCGGCTGCTCGCCCGGCGTGTATTTCCAATTTATTTCAAGAGAGTCGGCTTTGGGGAGACACTCTGGAGGGGGAGGACGAGAAGAGAATACGGAAAATAAAGCCCGCGGCCCGGGCTGCCGCCCGCGTTTGTGTGCGTGTGCTGTGGTGTGTGGCGTCTGCGCCTGGGCGTGCGATTTCATGGAGCGCCTCTCTGCCTCTCCAGCGCGGCCAGAGCTCGCCTCGCGCACCCACCCCTGCCGAGGAGCCTACTTGCTGCAGCCCAATGCATTGTGTAAGACGCGACCTGTTATGGCCACCACTACTTCCGGGTTCTAGCATTCTGGTCGGAATCCACCTCTCCGCCTGTGCAACACACACTTTACACACGCACGGGGACTGCAAGCGGGCAGCATCGTTCGTGGCTCCTTTAAGACAAACTCAGACAGACATTTTTTTTTTTTAACCCTCCTTCCCTAATCTCCCTCCAGTGCAGCAGTTGCAAAGAGGGAGAGAGAGAGAGGGAGGGAGGGAGAGAAAGAGAAAGAGAGAGAGCGAGCGCAAGAGAAGAGAGAAACTGATTAGGAATTAGGACTGATTCAAGGGAAGCGAGCGCTAGGGCTTTGTGCATTTGAATATTAACATTTGAGGTGTTCTGACCAGAAGAAGACAGAGCGGATGATCATTCATTCACCACGTTGACAACCTCGCCTGTGATTGACAGCTGGAGTGGCAGAAAGCCATGAGATTTGGTAGTTGGGTCTGAGGGGCGCTCCTTTTTTTTTTTTTTAAACTGATTTTTTGGGGAAAGAAGATCTGCTTTTTTTTTTTTTTTTTTTTTTTTTTTTTCTTCCTTTGCTCCCGCTGCTGTCTTGGAAACGGAGCGCTTTTATGCTCAGTGACTCGGGCGCTTTGCTTCAGGTCCCGTAGACCGAAGATCTGGGACCAGTGGCTCACGTTGCTGGAGACGTTAAGGGATTTTTCGTCGTGTTTTCTTTTTTTCCGGGGGAGTTTGCATATTTGTTTCTTTTCACACTGGCCTTAAAGAGGATATATTAGAAGCTGAAGTAGGAAGGGAGCCAGAGAGGCCGATGGCGCAAAGGGTACGTATTAAAAAACAATTGTGGAACTCAAATGTGAGATTAAATTGAAACGTGGCTGAAAGACACTGCTAAAAAGTTTCTTTTTTTCTCTCTCTTTTTAAATAAGGCTCCTAAAGCCGTGGCCTAAAGCAAGAGGCTTTCTTTATTCAATGCGTTTGTAGACTTATGTATGTTACTTAGAGTTGTTAATTCGAGTAATCAAGTTTTCTATAGATTCCTAACCAGCAACTATATAAATAAAAATACAAGCTTGAGTAATCTGTCCATCTGTTTTATAAAAAATAAAGCTGGTTATCTAATGCTATCATTTAAACATTAAGAGATCAGAAGTTTAAAGTTATGTTTAAGCTGAGATACGCAGCTGAAAACTTCTGGTGTTACTGATTATGCTCATGTTTAATATCACTAGAAACATTTAGCTTCTTTAAGCAACTAACTTTGTCATAGAACAGCGAGTTTTTTAGTTGGAAAACATTCATCTTCTTATAGTAATTTTAATTGTATGGATTTTTATGTAGGGTAATATTTGCAAGTTTTTCTTCGATAAGCCCTGTGCTAATTGGATACTAAGCACACAGCTACTCACTTTAAAAATGCAATACTAATTTCCCCAATATTCCTATTTGAATGGAAATGCAGTGAGAGTAAAGTGAGACAATGACAACCCAACTGAGGTAGTTTCTTAAAAGAAAGGGGGTCTACAGAAAGCCTTCCTTGCATAATTTGTGTCCTGGCCCTCAAAGCCCTGTTTGCAAAAGAAAGTTACTAGGCTGACACATTTTTCTTTACTCCTTTGGTTCAGGCAAATGTCAGGGTTCTTCCAAACTCTTTTCACACCTCTGGCTTTAAGGAGATGAAAGTGGCAATTCCTCTTTTCTTTGAAAATCATTTTACTCTCTCGGCGCCTCCAAATCTTGGGAAAAGAACTTGCCTGGAATGAACCAATTAGAAAAACCTAAATAGCTGAATTTCACACAAAAAAATTAATGACAATCAATATGAAAGTAGTTTTTTTTTTTTCTGGAAGAGGAAGAGGGGGAGTCTGTCTGTACATTTGTTTTTGAATTTGCTTTAAACCTGGTGAGTAACATTTGGCTCCTTGACTTCTAGTCTAGGGAGAAAGTTCATAAGAGTAAAAACAAAAACAAAAAAGAATATTAACTGCTTCAACTATAGGTTTTCTTTAATTTCGGGGTGAAATTGCCCAATTCTAAATTCAGCTCTGCTATTCAGGAAAAGCTACCCTTTATTGAGTCTCACTTATAAGGAGGCCGGTTGGTTTTGTATAATTGAGCAGTTTGGGAAAGCAAAAGAAATGCAGTGTCTTGTAGGACTGCCTAAATCCAGCCGGCAGGGACATAAAATGAGAAGCCTGTCTGAATTCACGTGCTTGGCGTAGCTCTTCCCATTGTAACTTTTTTTTTTTTAATTCCCCCTGATGTGAAGGGGCTATGAAACCAGGCGGGTTTGCTGCACTGTCCTGGCTCGGTTTATTATGGTGATTTTGAATTTCCTCCTCCAGAGACATGCACATTTTACCCTCCACCCTCAGGAGAAGGCTTCCTTTTCTCTCCTTCTTTCGTCTTCCTTGCCAAAGGATCCTGCATTTTTGAACTAGTTGATAGGGGCACGAGTTAGGGCAAGATCATTCATCCCAGGCGAGTCGAACTGAGAATCTTAGAATTTTGACTTTAAAAATGATTGGGGAATAAGAAATCTCAACTTTAGCCATGCAAGGCCACCGAATTCCGAGTGCAAGGATCCGGAGGACTGACCTTAGATAAGCTGGGCGCCTTGCCTCTCCCGCCTGGCCTTCTGAACCTTCTTTTTTCTCCTGTTTGTCATGCAGTACGACGATCTACCCCATTACGGGGGCATGGACGGAGTAGGCATCCCCTCCACGATGTACGGGGACCCGCATGCTGCCCGGTCCATGCAGCCGGTCCACCACCTGAACCACGGGCCTCCTCTGCACTCTCATCAGTACCCGCACACAGCTCACACCAACGCCATGGCCCCCAGCATGGGCTCCTCTGTCAATGACGCTTTAAAGAGAGATAAAGATGCCATTTATGGGTAGGTACGGCGGGCCGCAGGTTGAGTCGTTGAGAGGGGGCGCTTCCCCCGTGTTCCCTGTGCCCTTGGTGAAGAGGAAAGTCAGAGTTCTCTGGATTAGAGGCACACATTGGGTGACTTTCCATTCGCACTGCACAGGGAGCTTGGGGAGGTGGCCTGCCCTCCCTGGCGCCCCGAGTCAGCACACAGGCTCCGTTCGCGCCCCACTGCCCCGCGGCGGTGTCGGCGGAGGGGGTCCCAGTCCCGGAGAAGTTGCCTGAAGGTCCCTGGTCCCCTCTCAGCCTCGCGCTCGGCGGGTTGGAGTCCCTGCTCGCTCGATTTCGCCCGGAGAGCGTGAGGGGTTTCTCGGTGTAGGCGCCTTTGTGTTGGAACGAAACTTTTAGTTTAAGGGAAAATCTTTTAAGCCACTAATTGTTCTGACTTGCTAAGTTTACTCAGCAACCGTATGCTGGCTCTGCGGCTGCACAATAAAACCAAGCGAGGACAGTTGCGGGTCAGGCAAGGGGGAACATGTTTTGCATTTAGGGAGTCTGGCCACTGGAGTCAAGGAGAGGGGCTCGCTCTGAATTGCTACACGCCTTAAGAAACTTCTAGACGTTTTAGCACTTTGTGTTCAAAGATGAAACCTGCAAGATTTAGAAAGAAGTAATTCGGGGTGCTGTCTGCCAGAGGGTGTTTTCTGGCGACAGTTTACACCGAGTCCTCCTCGGCCACTCGGTTCGACCCTGGAGGAGTCAAATCTTTTGCAAGTCACTTGTGCCTACTGTGTGCTGATGAGCTGGGGGACGTCTTTTTACTTTGCAACAACTTTTAAATTTTATTTATTTCTTAAAAAAAAAAATCAGCCAACACTAAGCTTCCCTGGCTGGAGGAAAAGAAAAAAAAAAAAAGCCCACAATCTCTCTGCTTTATTTTCTGGTCCCTTGTGCGATAAGGTTGTTTAAATCTCCGCGTTCTCTGCAAATGGTTTAGGCTCCGGAACAGAACATTTGGGGAAGCTTTGAAAAGGACCCCAAACTGTTAAATTCCCAGCTGGGCTGTGAGAGCTAATAAAAGACTTGAGACACCTCCTTGGGCATTAGAAGAAGCAATTTTTTTTTTTTTTTTATGGGCTAAGACAAGCGACATCTAGGCCCCTCGCACTGCTGGCTGCCTCGCCACTGCGCAGAGACAAAATGAAAGGCTTCACCGCAGGGATATTTGAAGGAACCTTCTTTGGGGGGCGACTGGGGCCCTCCGCGAAGGGAGGGGAGAGTGCAGGGAGCCGAGGAGGGGCCTTCCCGCCGTCCCAAGGCCTCGGGCTTGTGCTCGGTGGGTGCAGCCCGGGGACGCTTGGTCTCGCAGCCGTGGAGGTCCTTTCCCCAAGTTAGCGGACCGCCTGCCACCGGGACCCCCCCGAGCCCGGGCTTTGCGCGGCCGCCTTGGCAGAACCCGCGGGAACCGGCTTTCCCGGCGCCCGCGCCCAGCGCCCAGCGCCCAGCGCCCAGCGCCCTTCTCCTCCGCCGGGTCCTGAGTGTGCAGTGGAGGCACCAGGGCTGGCCGGGTGGGAAACTTAATTCAAGATGGCTGCTGGAACCGCTTGGGTTTCTTATTCGTGGCAAATGTTGCCAATTTCTCTGGCCAGATACACTAAAGCGATCCTCAGATACCGTGCGTGGCTCAGGGCCTCCGACTTCAGGGCTCTAGGAGGAAGGGGAGGTGAGCCGGCACCTGGTGGGGGAGGGAGGAGGAGGAAGACAAAAAGTGGATGACCAAATCCGAGAGGGGGTCTGTGCCTCTGGCTCCTCCGGCTGTTTTTCTGGGGCACCTTTTTTTCACTGACTGGGGACTAACCACTGTGTTGTTTGTGACTGTTGTATTTTCTTGCAGACACCCCCTCTTCCCTCTCTTAGCACTGATTTTTGAGAAATGTGAATTAGCTACTTGTACCCCCCGCGAGCCGGGGGTGGCGGGCGGGGACGTCTGCTCGTCAGAGTCATTCAATGAAGATATAGCCGTGTTCGCCAAACAGGTCAGCAAAATAAATGTTAAAAAAGTCAAACAGAGACAGAAAAGAACCCCCACCCCCCCAACACGCACACCCAGCACGTTTTCAAGAGTAGCCAGCGAATAGTCCACCCTGAGCCATGCGTGTGAGTCCAGCCTCAGGTTCTCTTCCTCTGCGAGTGTCTGCAGATAACTTAAAACCACCCGTGGTCAGACCCACTCACCCTCCGAGAGCTAACGCGGAAAGCCCCCTCTGTAAAATAAAATCGAGAACGCCGCACGTTGTGGCTGCTTTGGACTTGGCGAGCTGAGCAGCGTCCCGAGAAGCGTAGTTGCTGGTCGAAGTCAGACTGGGCTCTGGGCTTGTTTTCAGCTTATTTAATCCACGCTGAAGTGTTTCTGCGCGGGACGAACTCGGTGTCACCCAGTCCCTCCCGGAGGTCACATCCTGCCCCCGACAGTGTAATGAGGCAAGAAACTAGGAAGGCGACCAGATTTCAAACTTTTCTTTCTTTCTTCCCCCTTCCCTCTCCCCTCTCCTTCCCACTTGGATTTAGATCCGCGCAGAAAAACCTCTATTTTCTTCTAATCCAGAACTGGATAACTTGGTAAGAGCGGCCCCCTCCCCTCCTCCCCCCACTGCGGCCCCCACCCCCGACCTCAGCTCCCTCAGCTTCGCCATGGGGTCCCTGAGGGTTCCAGGCCGGTCTCCCCGCGCCTGCCAGTTGGCTGCAGAGGCTTCCGTCCACGGACAAGTGGGCCAGGACGAGGTCCCGGGGAGACGAACCCGTCTCCAGAGGGGCCAGGCGCGCTGGCGCGGGGAAACGCCAGCTTTTGTTTTTTATGACAGCCGGGCTGCGCAGCTCTAATCAGCGCGGGGATTTATCTCCGGGTCTGTCAGCGTGTGTGCTTCAACTTCGTGGACTTCCCAGCCCTCCGAGGCCCGTCCCGTGGGCGGTGACCGGGCCAGGGCCCCCACAGCACCGGCTCAGCCCGAAAGGGGTGCGCAAGGCGGCAGGGACTTTGCAGCGCGACAGAGCCCCGGTTGGAGGGCTGTCTGGAATATTTTCCGCCCACTCTTTCCGAGGAAACACCTAGTCCAGCGCTGTGGCTCTTCGGGGGCAGGGGTGGGGCCGGGGGGATTGAGAAAGGGGAGATCCATGGGGGAGGAGAGTGTTTATGAGCCCCACTTAGATGTTTTGTTGTTGCTTTTGCTATTTTTTTCCTCCTTAAGAAATATAAACCTCTAGATGGTACCCAGTCGCTGCTATTAAGTTTTAGTGTTATTGCCATAAATCAAAATAACTCTGTTTACTGGTAGGAGCGGGTGGGCTGGGGATGCTGGGGCTGTGGCAGCCAGTTTTCTGCAAACCAGGAACGGTGTGCTCACCCTTTTTGTATCTTTGCAGATGATTCAAGCCATACAAGTATTAAGGTTTCATCTGTTGGAATTAGAGAAGGTAATTTCTCTAACCTCTTTCTCTTTTCCTTCCCCCCTCGCCCCCAAACACACAGTCAGGGGGGCGCAGAATGGCCGAAGTTCAGGCTTCTGAGACATTTGCATAAATGTCTTTCTTTCTGGTAATTAGTGTCAAGGCCAATCTTAGCGTCCATTTCTCTTCACAGTTTAATTACAATTTCAGTCACTAAAACCGGGATCACAAACACCCCAGCCTTGTGTTCTTTCTTAATACCTTGCTGGCTTTGTGTAAATAGTTGCGTTTCTGCACACCCTCCTTGGTGTTTGGAACGCTGTGGTGCCGTTTGCTTCACAGGTTCATACCTCCGTGGTCCCTTTTCTTCTTCCCCCCTCCTTTGCTACCTCTGAGGGGAGGAAAAAGTTTTACTGAGTTTGAGTGAGTTTCTGGAAGACAGTCTGAGAGCAGCAGCAGGTCAGACACAGAGGAGAGGCGGAGGGGGAGGAGGAGGAGCAGCAAGGAGTCTGGAGAAGGCGGAGGGGGAGGCACGTTAAACGTTGTGCAGAGACAAAGCAGAGTTGATAGTTGTGTCCACTTCTTGAGGCTGTGGATCCTGCACACACCCCACCTTCACACTCAAGGAAGGGTGTGGGATAACATGATTTTGCTGGCTGTTCTATAAATCTCAGCAATAAAACCTTAATGTATTGTAATTCAAACTAACATTAAATTGCAAGCACACTGGGGTTTCTTGTGAATTTTTGCATGTCAGTGATGCCTGGGGCCTGCAAGAGACCTCTACACTTGTACCTAAATATTTTGAGGCATTCTTTCCCCTTTTATAAAAAAAAAAAAAGTCAATTTGATACATGTTTGTGGCTGTAGGTTTTTTATATCATGAGCACTGGCAACTTGATTTCCTCCTTTTTTTTTTTTTAAGGAAGTATCCTAAAATATACTTCTTAGTGATAGAAACCCTAATTGCAAATGTTATGGGAACTTGGGTTGTCAGGCACATATCCTATGCCACCACAGTACAAGTGCTTTTACACACACACACACACATGCACCCAAACACACATATATTTCCTTAGACACGTTGGGAAAGGATTTATGATAAAGTCACTGGATGAAATTAAATAGTTTACCTTAAATGTCACCCACGCGGGTCACCTCTCTAATGGCCACAGCCCCAGGAGCAGATGAATTTAACACGGGTGTTGAATATGTTGTAGCCTGTGAATCATCTTGTCACTGTCAATTTTCTGGGATATCTCTATTTTGCAAGAAAAGAAAGTTATTCCTAATTCTGGATGCGTCTGGGGGTCTCTGGAGGACAATTGCCCTGTGTTTTCCCTATTTCGAAGTTTGGATCTCACAAGGGGGGTGGACTGCGCGTGTCAATGTCATTTATGCACTCCTGATTATATTTCCATCTTTTTATTTCTGTCATAATGTAGGTACACGAATTATGTGACAATTTCTGCCACCGGTATATTAGCTGTTTGAAAGGGAAAATGCCTATTGATTTGGTGATAGACGACAGAGAAGGAGGATCAAAATCAGACAGTGAAGATATAACAAGATCAGCAAATCTAACCGACCAGGTATGTGCTTTTCAGTTTCAACATCCCTGGGAAAAAAAAAATCTGTATGCATATTGGTAGCTGGGTCACTATCACTTCCTTTTATTATTTGCATATGATTAAGTCCCTTTTAGATACATTTCCATCGAAATGAAAATTTTTGAATAATGTGGCTATTATTGCTTCATTAAGGCTGGCTCTGGGATTCGACCTGGAGAGATGAGCTTGTAAAAGCTTTGCTAGCAAACTTGACCTGTTTCTTGTCGCTTTTAATTTTTGTCTTTATTTTATTTACCCTCTGTAATAATGGGAGTGTTAACTGCCAGTGACTGCCTCTGATTGTAGGGCTTTGTTCTGGAGCATTTTTTTCCCCCTTCTATCTCCAAGAAAAGAAAAGTGTAGGGTCTGCTTATTTCTTATTTTATTAGGAATAAATCCAAGATAGGTGGTCTAAGAGGGACAGTGAGGGTTTGAAATCTAGCAAATGCTGGCTATTTTCTCCCTGTCTATACGGTTCATTAGTCTGTCTTGTCAGTTTTCCTCGGCCGAACGCTTCTAGACCTCACTGAACATTGCTTTGTGTGGTGTTCGCTGCAAGCTCGCCCATTTTATTGTACTTAACAGAAAAAATAAGACCAGGCCGAGGTTACAAAAACAGATAAATGTGGACTTTTCGCCTCCTCCTTTCCACTCATCCTCCAGCGGGTCCGTGCTCTGGGCCCTCTGCACGGGTAGCTTCTGGACGTGTCAGCGTCAGGGCACCCGCGGCTCTTCAGTGTGGAGGGTGGGCGGCCTTCCGCCGCCTCCGCTCCCAACCGAGGGCCTCTGCTCGCTGCGCCCCCTGCTCCCGCGTCCTCGCTCCAGGCCCTTCGCCCCCTGCGCCCGCGTCCCTCCCGCCAGGCCCTTCTTCCGACGCGTTCCTAAGTGGGGACCACTTTCATGTGGAGTTGCTGCGGGGATTTCTCTCTCGCTCGCTCACCCCAACGCCACCGTTTGCGCCCAGGCTCGGTCTCTCCCCTGTCACTGTGTCTCTGGATTGGTCCCAGGGAGTTGCACAAAACGCCATGGAAGCGGGAACGTGAGGAGTGGGTGAGGCCAAGCAGGGCTCAGGACGATTCTGTTGCGAATTGTTGCAACGCGTCTGGAGACCCGGGTAGCAGGCCTCCTCTGCATCCTGCACCCTCCCCCAAGATATAAGTGAGGGCCCGTGTTGTTTCTCATTCTGACTTGGCACGTGAGTCCCGGCTGGGGGGAAGAGATCAGCCTGCCTTTGTTAGCCAGAGGCCTGCCACTCCGACAGTGTTCCTCCGCAAGCCCTGCCTCGGTGGCCAGGGCTGAGTCTCGTCTAGTCCTTGCGGGAATACCTGACACCTCGTTCTTGGTGTCGTCGCAGGGTTTTCTCCTCTCAAATGCATTCTCAGCTGGAATTTCTCCTTGCCACACGGGCTGCCCATGAGGTCTGAGGGGCAGGCAGAGCAGAACTTTAAAAGTGCCGACACGCCGAGTCCTCGCCATGACTTGGCGAGTTGGAAACTTTCGGCAGTGTAGACGAGTGCGCAGGACCCGCAGCAGACGCAATCTGGACGCGGCCCGGCGGAGGTGGGAAAACGGCTCCCAGCTCGGGCCCCGCGGGCTGGCGGCCTCACGCCTGGCTCGGCCCGCCAGTCCTCGTCCGAGAGCTGTGAGGGCAGACTCCGCCGAGGAACCCTCGGGTAGCTGCTGTTGAATAAAAATTGTAATCCAACAAGCCTAACTAGAAAATGGGATTCTAAAAGCTCCGGAGTGCTGGGTACATAAAGCTATTTGAGCAAATTACAAGAATCGCTCAGGGGCATGAATGAAATCAACACTTTAATTGCCTCCAAAATGAAGATTTATACCCCATTTTCTCAAGGAATCATTATTTTATTAAAGTCAAAGATAAAAGACCAAAGTTACGGGGTTTTTTTTCTGGCAGGAGGGAGGAGAGGGGATGAAAAAGTGATAGAATATCATTACGTGCCCCCTACTCCCTTTCGTAAACTTTTGTTCCCCAATTGCCTTCATCTGAGATATGAAAAGATTGGTATGCAATTATGTTGGGGGGAAATTCGCATTTCATTCTCTTCCTCCCCTCAAGTGAGAATCGTACGTCTGGTCCCCGTCGTGTGAGAGCGGGCTTCGCAGCTCTGGCCGAGCTCGTGGCGCTGCTGGCCTCTGCGTGTGGGCTCGCGGTGTGACCCCTCGGGTTCACCCAGTCTCTCTCTTGGTCGGAGGGCAGCAGACCCAAGTTTTTTCTAATTGTCCGGTTCCTGTGAGCCGGAGCAAGTGTGCCTCTGTCGGGTTTGGAGAGGGGGTCGCGGGGCGCACGCGGTACAGTGCCTGGGATGCCGGCTGGGAATTCAGGGGCGAAGCACCAGGGCGCCCTTTGGGTGCCACTTCTCCTTACTGGAACCTGCCGGCCTGTCCCCGGAGGCGCTGGACCCCGGGGTGGCGCCTGGGAGCCGGGCCCGACAGGAGGGCCTCTCCACCTGTCTGCGAAGGCGGCCCAGCCAGTTGGCGCCTCCGCAGAGGTGCGCTCCGGGACTGGACGCTTCTGGTGCGGTGCGAGCGCTGGGCCTCGTTAGCTCATTAACCCCTCTGTCTCTAGGGCCTGCTGGCGGCACGGTTTATTTTATTTTACTTTTTTTCTTTCGGAGGGCGCGAAGGCTGCCACCCGCGCAGGGACCTGGGATCGACGACTTTGATATTAGGCGGTTTCCCGTAGGGCTAAGTCGGAGGAAATCCACTTGGCCTTTTGGTTTTGTTGGTTTGGTCCTCTCTCTTTCTTTTCTTTTCTTTCCCGCCCCCCCCTTTCATTCTCCCCCCCCCTTCTTTCTCCCCCTCCTCTTTAAAAAATTCAGTAGAGGCTGTAATCCCGTTCTCCCCCACGAGCAGGTTTCTCCCCATTGCCAGTCTTGGGGGCCGCCTGGAGGTCCCTGCCCGAGAGCCACCTCTGGCGGGCCCAGGTCTCCTGGGCGCCCTCTTCCGACCGCCGCGCTCTCGGCTCGGCTTTGACGCTCCCGATGCCCCGGGGCTGGGGACAACGAGGGGCGCCGGGGGCTTCCCGGCCTCTGCGGGTGGCGAGGTCCAGGCTGCGGCCCCAGGGAAGACCGAGAGAGACACCACGGTGCTAGGCGTCGAGGCGAGGGATCAGACCTGGTTGCTGGCTGTGAAGGATTCGAGTTTGAGGGGAAGGTGGCGCTTGTTTGAGGGAGTCATGGTGATTTGGGGGCGCCACTAGGGGTTGGTGAGGCGGGAAGAGCCTGGCCACCCAGATGCTAGATTTTAGACCATGCTCCGGGAAGGGACGGTCGCCTTCCTTCCTAGGGTAGTCTGTTGCTCGCCACTCCTTGAATCTACACATTTTCCACTCCAAGAACGAGTAGGGAGAGAGCGGAGACCGGAGCAGCGTCTCCAGGCCCCCAAGGTCGCCTCCCGGGTGGCCACGCCTGCCGGGAGCGAGCCGAGATTAGCTGGGCCGGTGCTCAGGCCTCAACAGCAGCCCCGGTTCTCCCCACAAGCGGCAAGAGGCAGAGAAATGGTCCCTTTGGATTACAGTTTTTATTCAACAGCAGCTCTCCGGGGGGTCCTCGTCTGAATCTGCATTTAGCAGCTCCTGGGCGAAGGCTGGCGGGCTGCACAGGGCGCCCTGTTGCATGTTAATCCAGATTTGTGCCTGATGTCTGGGGAGGAGTAATATGGCTTGCAGAGATGAAACCAGAGAGCCACGCTTGCCAGGCAGGTTAAAAGCCAAGTGCTGGCGGGCTCCCGGGGTGCGGGGGGGGGTGGGGGGCGTCAGCCGCTGGGGCTGTGCGGCCCAGATTGGAGGGCGCAAGGGACCTGGGGCGGGCCTGGCCCAGTGCGCCTTGGTTCCCAAGTGGGCTTGGGAACTCTAGTGGCGATTGTTTCATTTCAGAAGTTCGCAGTGTTGTTTCTAAAGCACAGTTTGGGTTAAAAGGCTTAAAACTGAAGTAGGACTTGGCTGAAAATGCCCCCTTCGAAGTGGGGGTGGATAGTCGTTCAAGGGAGATTTAAGCTGTCCCTCTGGGGGGAGGTGTCATGGGAGGGGATGGGGCTGGGAGGGCAAGAAACAACCTAAGGTCCTTCATGGGCTGGATCTGCTGCCTTAGAAGCAAATGGATGGGGCTAGCGGATATTTACTAATACTAGAAATGTCTGCAATTCATTTTCATCCAGTGAGAAAAGGGGACACAAACAGCAGGCGACAGAAAAATGCTCCCTTTGTCAGGTAGTTTGTTTCTAAATGCTTACATTTGGACACATTGTATTTACATTGTAAATGCTTCATAGGTTCCCACTTAATGCCTTCTGGACTCTCTCAGTCCACAGGCCTTGCAAGCCATAGTCTTAGAATCAACAAACTTTACTTTTAATTGTTGTTGTGGATCAAGTGATGTATTCTTCATTCCTTTTATTTTTTTATTTTTATTTTTTGAGTTGGAGTCTCACTCTGTCCTCGCCCAGACCGGAGTGCAGTGACACGCTCCCGGCCACCGCAGCCTCGACCTGCTGGGCTCCGGCGATCCTTCCGCCTCAGCCTTCCAAGTAGCTGGAACTACAGGCGCGCGCTACCATGCCCGGCTAGTTTTTGATTTATTGTCGAGACGAGGTCTCGCCCAGCTGCCCAGGCGGGTCTTGAACCCTCGGGCTCAGGCAATCCACTCACCTCAGCCTCCCAAAGCGCGGGATAAAAAAATATGTCAAAGGGAAATTACGGCAAGATTCTCTTTAATGATTAAATAATAAGTGCTTGTCACTACACTGGCTAATTGGGATGTTCATTCTGGGCCCTTTAGTGCTCAGTACCCTTTGAATTAAAAGTTAGTTTATTTTCCAGGTATATTTGTATTGTTACTTTCTGTTTGGTTTTTAGTATGTATTTGTGTGTGAAGTTCAGAGTAGGGATGTATTGGTTTTTAATGTGAGCACTTAAAAAACATCTTAGAAAAACAATTTTAAAAAAAAGTACAGGGTATATG